GTTAGATCTTTACCGAATCTGGGAACTCGAGATCCATCGTTTTGCTTGATTTTTCTGTTTCTTTTTACTCTGACTGAAGAAGGATTGGTTTCAACGAAGTTAAAATTGAGGCTGCTCTGTTCTTGGTTTCTGTCAGATGAGACTGATTGAAAGTTGTCATTTTTAAGTTTGTGTATAAGCAAAATGGTTTCACTAGTATTGTGAATCATAGATATTATTAGGGTTTTGTATATTTAGGTAGAAAGATGCATGCTAGGCAGCGCAATGTTGGAAATGGGTACAGATCTGGAATGGGAATGTCTGGTTCTAGAATTTCACCTGACCGTCCTATGAGAGGACATGGGTTCTATGGTTCTGAATACCAACACCGTGGGTTTAACCGTGGATATGGAAGAGGAAGGGGACGCTCTAAGTCATACCAGAATCAGCTGCCTCCGCCTCTACCTCCTCAACCGGTGCAACAAGGTAGAAGTGGTGGCGGCGGTGGCGTTTTCATGGAGGCAGGTCGTCTAGCAGTAGAGTACTTGGTTTCTCAGGGTGTTCTACCACAAACTGTGCTTTCCAGTAAGTGGCAGAATGGTAATTTCAGGAAGCAGGCTGGGGAGTTTCAGAGTTCTAGGTCACAGGAAGCGGCTCGAGTGGAGGTTTCAGATTCTGGTGCGGATAAAAGGAGGTATATTGATGGCTATAGCTCAGCTGGCTCTAGGAATAATCTGAAAGGAAGGAGATCTCACCGTTATGAATCGGATTTCGGGAGGAGCGGATCCTGGTCAGAGAGAAGTAAAGGTTTTGAGGTCGAGGCTGGTGATGACTCTGTGTCTGGGCATCGAGAAGAGCAGCCACTTGCTGAAGATATTGCTAGCTCGGTTCAGCGGTCAGTCTCTGGTGAATTTATGAGAAAGCGTGAAGGAGCGGGTGATTCAGAGTCTGTGTTGGACAAGTACAATCTCCAGGATGAGGCACAGTCTAAGACAGGTTCCTCGAGTGCTGGGAAAGAAATAGTACAGGATTGTGAAATCTCAAAAGTCTCTGAAGGTTCTTCTAGCTTGAGTGCTGGATCAGGAGAGATGAAAGGTAGGACTGGTGGTAATGGTGGAGAGAATGAGAACCAAACTGCAATAGAAGATGCATCTATCCATCAGCATTGTGAAGATGCATCAATCCATCAACATTGTGTGGCTGATGAATCATTCACCAAGAGTGGTATTGATTTGGCAACGCTGTGTAAATTTGAGAAGGTTCCTACGAGGACACGCTCTTCTTTGACTGCAAAAGGCCCAAAGCTTTATTTGAGTCAAAATATGAAGGAAACCTCTCATAATTCTGAACTTGTAGAAGAAGCTCAAACAGAAAATCAATGCGAGACTCAAGGCCAATTATCTGGGAAGGCCGATAGTACTGGCGACGAAGTTTTTAATGACCACGTCGAAGATTTACCTCTTGTTCAGTTCGTTGAGAACAGTAAATGTCATAGGTCCAATTCTTTCCCTAGTAGCATTCTTAGGGACAATAATGAGAAAGATTCAGGATTAAAATCGCCTAATCTGCACAGATCGCATTCGGTGGGGAAAGGAGGGGAGAAGCGGGCAAGTGAAGGTAATGACTTGAAGGAGGGAGCAAAAAGACAGAGAAATTGGGTGCCTTTGCCAGTTTCGGAAGCCAATGAACGCTTCAACATATGTAAAACAAGTGAAATCCAATGCCATCCGGGAGAAGAAGAAAAGACAAGCTCGTTCAACATGAGACTGATTAACAGTGCTGCTGAAAAAAGGGTCAGCCATGAAAATCTTGTTAATAACTCTACACGTAATAGTGTACACAAGGGAAAATCAGGTCCCGGATATGCAGAAGAGCGTCAGCTGTTTCCTGCTTCATTTAAAACCTGTGATCTAAATCTAGGGGGAACATCGGATGTGAATGATGGCAAAAGGGAATCTGGTCAAGCTGTTGATCTCTCAATCAGCAGTTCTAGCAAGTCTCACGAGTTCAGTACTAGTACTCGGATGAGCAATGGTAAAGAAATAGAAGTGATTGATTTGGACAACGATGATTCTCCAGAAGTGGTCAAGTCCAACAATGATCCGGGAAGAAAGTATGGCTAAGTTCCACTCTTCACCTACATAGACACATCTTTTATATATCGGCTAATGAGTTCTTGACTAAAATATTTAACAGGCAAGAAGCTGCCCCATACATGGGCATCGACGGCGTTCCCGACTACAATGAAGGGCTCATGATGGTAGAGTTTCTTGATTCCTTTGGAAACATTCCTCCAATAAACCCGGGAATCAGTAGTGTGCCGCCGAATAACGAAGTTAGCCTTCAAGACCAAGAGGTACTTACTCTACTTGTCAAATGGTAGGTCACATAGAATTTGTTTAAATGCTAACTTCCCCTGCAAACGTCTCAGGGAGCTATTGGAAATGACCAAGTAGCAAATAATACAGATGATGATTCGATCTTCATGTCACTCGGAGAAATACCATTGAGTAAGGCCACAAACCATCAGTTTAAACTTTTTGAGTGTTTCTTTCACTTTTGTATTAGCTTAGTAAAGAGCTTGCTTCATTCACTTTCTCTGTGTTGCAGCATTCTTGCAAGCCTGGGACCAACCTCCGGCGCGAGGCTACGAGAAGCCTTTCTGATTCTCTTTTTATTTTTAGAAAAAACAAAAAATTATGTACCGTCTGTGTAATGTGTAGCCAAGTTCGTTTGTGCTAATCCTCTTCAGATGTAAGATTGTGACTTTCGTGTTTTATGATTGTACCCTTGTAATTTTCTGCTTATTCTCCACATCGCTCCCATGTTATAGGTATTCAATCTTCAGCCC